AATCCCGAGCACTGTAGTTCTCAAGATCCAAGAGCAATGGAATCGAATGTGCCTTGGAGCACAGCTGGCTATCCTGAATAAGCCATGTAAACTGAATGACCGACACTTGGGGAGTGGAGTTTGAGCTAGGGAATGGCTGAACTTCCGTTATTGTGATGGCCTTCAGGCAAGCCTGAAAAACGTTAATCTTAGGTTCAGATCTTGACACCCGACACAACGACCTGGCAACTACCTGAAGAGCCTTATGAAACAGTACACTGGGGATACTTGAAGGCAAGCACGTCATTCGAAAAGATCGTATGATTCGGAGTATAGATCTGGGCAACTTTCATCCCCACAGGCCTCCAACAAGCCAATTATAAACCACGACTGATGGGCCAGTGAATCATCTAGACAAGATTATCCGACTTCCAATCAATGTTTACCAAAAGAAGTCTGACTTTCAACCAACACCTGCCCAAACCTGTCGCCATATTGCCTTGAGAGAGCATCAGTATCCATCCGACAGTTGTTTTTCCACCTGGTTGTACATATCACCTAAATTTTGAGGCAATATCCACCCCCAAGACAGCGCTGTTGTTGTAATTTACCTGCGGGAAGTGCATTATTCAGCTGAAACCTGGGAAATTTACGGATACGGCAAGCATTTTAGTATAACTAGACCAGTAATGATGCTTAAGTTTGTCAACATGCTTGTACCAGCTGGTAGTCTTCAAAGGTCGCCTTCCTGCTTGCACTCGGTTTTTTCCTCAAGTTTACATCGGCATCAGTGACCTGCAGGTGGCACCATTCTGGGCGCCGCGCAAGCCGCTTGTGGTTAACCCATTGTAAACAGGCATTCATTGAATCAACAACTATCGACCGGGATACCGTTTTGGTTCCAATCAACTCTAACTGTCCAATTAACGAACTGTTCTGGAAGAAGTAAATAGTTGTAACACTTATGTATTTACACGGCTTGAGAGGACGCGTACTTCACAGATAAACTGTCGGCCACAAAAAGCTACACTCATCGGTAGTCAACACAGTCAGGAGAATTCAGTTGGAGACGAGTGTTTGGAAGCTGGCGCACACCGCATTCTGTCCAGTTCCATATTTATGGCTTAAAAATTATTGGGAATTTCGTGCGGGTCACCTACTTATGAGTAGTCACATCACTTGGCAATTAAGAAAAACGAAAGCATACGCGAATGAAGTGTGCGTTGTGGTGCTGCAAATCATCTTTGCCTGGTATCATGAGGACAGATCTATAGTTTGCGCATGACGCACGAAAATGCGGGAGATTCGGATGCCAGTAGGCCTGAATAAAAAAAATGAAATGGTTGAAAGTGCACTCAGTGTCACAGAAAACAATCACGTTTGGAAATGTCAGATAGAAATCACACTAAGATTTGCCACCACACGTAGATGGCAAAAACTGAGCGCAATAAAGATAAGAGTTATATTTAATCTAGAAAATAATCAATTCGATAGTGCCTTGTGTGAAACTTTGACCTAATCAAGGGAAGAATTAAAAATAAGTCCGCTTATAAAACTAACATCTGTATTGGGGATCAAAGGCCATAATGAAACAGGGCCCGAGTAGCCCGGTGGTTGAAACCGCGGACTTCCGTTTTGCTGATCCGGTTTCGAATACTTGAACGAGTTCGTTATGATTGACGACCAATCCATGTCCGAAAAAATGGGTACACATGTTTGATCACCAAACAACGTGGGGAATAATTTAGCATTTTAGGAAAATGGAAGTATCATCCCAAAGCAGTCGGTTTTACAATCATGTCCACTAGTGTAACTGCTGATAAAGCTTCGACCTTTCTGGCATCAGTAAATGCTACAGTCATAAAAAGATCAGTTTTTTTGGAGTCAGACTAACGTACTCTAAAGTGATATGCACCAAAGGTTCGTGTGCCACGATTTCGAAATCGGCAACTCGACCGAGTACATAACAGTTAGCAGTGAAAACTGTGCAATCGGGAGAGGGCAAGTCGGCTATTTTTTTAGTCAAATAAACTAACAAAACGAGTAAACAGTCTCAGTGATTGTTGGTGTCACCTGAAGATAAAAAAGCCATGCAAAATTGGATGTTTCTTCGCTGATACAGGCAATCTCAATGCGGAAAGGTCAAACAAAAACCACTTCAGGTTATCGGTGGCCTAATTAAATAAACCTATTTCCGTATAACTAAGCAACGATGCCAGGTACTCTGAACCGGATGGAACTGGATCAATAAACGCTTCTCTGCTAGATACATAACAGAAAACAGAGGTGTTCGGCAGGTTGACGTAAATTTCGCCTCTATGCTGCGGTGCGAATCTGGGTTAATCGAAGAAGCTCTTGGATCTTGAAATTCGACGCAAACTTCGCCAATACACCGTTGTTTACTTCCCGGATAGTCACAGTATTTTTTTGAATAAAGACTGGAAAAATTATTGTCTTGGCCTTGCGCCAGCAGGTAAACCTAAGAAGAAACAATAAACTAGTGGAACGAACGAAGTTTCGGTTTTCGCAAACCGGGTGGCAGTTGAGTGGATGAGTCTGATGAACCTTGGCCCTGGTAGGTTCGAATATTTGCGACAACTTTGACAACATAGTTTCGGATCGCACTGACTTATTACGACTGTTTCAGCTGCCGTTGAGCCAATTTTGTAGATCACTGTCAGTAGAAGTGATGTAAACGACTTCAAGCTTTCCGAGAATCGCACTCATTTGCAAATCAATTAGGTTTTCACAAGAGACTCAATTGAATCTCTCGTTTATGATATTCTACTAACTGAATGTGCTGCACACAGGCCGCCTCATGATTCAGTTGGCACGATATTCGAGATATCGCAGTATATTTTCATAAAGGAAACTACTCACAAGGTTGCTGGAAACTCTTCGACAGCCCACGACCGGTTTCGCCCTTCTTGGGGCTCATCAGGTAGACGCAGTCCCCGAGTTTTCGTCAACCTTATGTTCTACTTGAACCCAAATTGGACCCGAATCGCAAATCAATTTGGTTTTCACGAGAGACCTCAAACTTTGTTCAACTTGACCATGCGGCCAAATTCAGCCAAATATAAAGCGATGAAACTTCGGATTGTTCTAACTGGTCAGATTCTATTTCGACATGGAAGATACTCACGTTTACTCTGTCCTAGTTGCCCAGCCGTTCCGGTTGCGAAAACCTGCACAACGAATCATCCTTTGTTTGGGGATCGACAATTTGTTTGTAGGTTGAAATCGAGCGGAAGTTTTGCGGCGAATCGAGATCGTAAGGTGAAGTGCGATGTAAAGTTTGGGGAATTTGGCGACCGACTGTCTTTTAGATCACTTTCGTGAGAATGACAAACAAAATGAGTTTTCTTACCTAGATCCATCACTGATGATTTGGTGGGATGATGAATGACACTCCTGCGTGTGGATGCATCTGGATAGGTTTCAGTCATTCGCAGGTTACCAGTATGCTTCAGTCTAGCATTTGATGTTTCAACAGAGATTACCCGCTTGTCCGGTTCTTCAAGGTGTGTATCAGGGTCCTTTTCCACCTCACAACAAAAAACCTTGAATTCGTGTTTTATCTTGTTTATGGGGCATCTTGTATAGACAAAGCTCTTCAGAAATTCGCTTGTAGGTTGCTGATCTCGACCGAATTCCGAGAAAATGAAGAACATTGGCTGTAGCTGTTTTGAAATGAAGTGAATGGTAGAATGAGTCTGATTGAAATTTCCAGAAACAGTTGACATAAACGTGGAAATTCCTACCTACTTAGGGACAACAATATTGTTTGATTAAACTCTATAATTTCAAGTTTGCCGATAGAAATATCAATTAATAAGGGAATGAGTAAACAGAAGCTAACCACTCTATCGATTTGATGTCTAAATGTTGACTTAACTTGGAAGTGTACGTTAAAAGAAACTGACGGGTTCACCGTTGCGTGGAGCAGACATAGTTGGGTTGTTGGGACATACTTTCTAATATTATTAGTAGTAGTACTAGCCTTTTGTAACAATATTTCTAAACATCCACGCATGTGATGGTTTTGATAAACTATTGAGAACCTACGATCAATGAAGTAAGGAATTAAAACAAATTCCACCGGATCGGAATGGCTGCTCCACTTGTCTATAGTTCCGCTATAATGCGGGTTTTTTTGTTACTCATCAACTTTAATGATTTACTTGACAAACGGAGCAAGGATTAGCCACAGAGTAACAGATAAAATCTCGGCGCAAGGGGATGAGTTACTGCCTAAAATCACGCGACCGTTCAAACTATGCTAACCGCAGCTCAAAAATTTGTTATCGCTTGTTTATGTCCAGAAAAGGCTGAGTTTTGCTTTCAGTAATGGTTATTAAATCAAGAACTGATGGGAGTTCGGTCACCGTCCGAATTTCATTTTATACTGATCGGTGTGCACATTCATTTGGCAGTGTTTTTGGACTTCTCTAGTGTTGTTTGTTCTTCTGAATGCGCTGAAACTGTCAAAGTTGTCAGCTAGATAAAACAATGCACACAGAGAAGTGGTTAACCAAAACTCGGGTCTGTTTGAGTCGACCTGAATAAGCCGCAAGGTCGTAACTACTTGTCCCGGATTGACATCTGATTCCGGATTTGATCACTCGTGCGAATTTTTACGAGTAGAGGTAGTCAGTCAGAAACCAGTCAGAACCAGTCAGAGACTGGTTCCGTGCATGATTCGTTTGACAGACAATTGGGTTTAGGAGTTGACAAAACAGGTTCGTGGACCTGAGGAGGTTTAGGGTTGAATATCTTGGAATTAAAGAACACTGAACATGAGAAATACACTCATTTGCTAATCCATTTGGTTTTCACGAGAGACTCAACTCAATCTTTCGTTTGTGATATTCTACAACTGAATGTGCTGCACACAGGCCGTCTCATGTTTCAGTTGGCACGATATTCGAGATATCGCAGTACATTTTCATAAAGGAAACTATTCATAAGTTTGCTGAAAACTCTTCGACAGCCCACGGAGAATATCATAAACGATAGATTCAGTTGAGTCTCTCGTGAAAACCAAGTTGATGTGCAAATGACTGTACGTCTCGAAAATAGTCCAATCTGGGTTCAACGTACGTCTCCAAAACAGCCCCAAGAAGGGCGGAACCGGTCGTGGGCTGTCGAAGAGTGTTCATCAACCTTATGAGTAGTTTACTTTACGAAAAAAACACTGAACACGTTTAAGCTTTTTGGTGATCAGCACACATCAGTCGGGTCCGCTCAAGATTGATGCAGCAGACACATTGAACATGCATCGCGTTGGAACACACCATCCAAACACATTCTTCAGTTTGGCCTTCAGTAAAGTGAGAAACAGTATAGCCACAGTTGGGGACCGAGCTAATGTGACTTGAAATAACGGTATAAACAAACTATCAGCTTATAGGCTCAGATCTTACATTTTTCTTGTAAAAATTCGAAGCTAGTTTAAAAAGTGATAATGAAAACGTTAAACCAGCATAACAAGTAATGCAATCATGATGATGATTGGCTTACGCCTGGTGTAACCTAGTGGGTTATCACAGAAGCAGCTATGTGTTCCTACTGTGATATTCACTCAGGATCGCTGGATAAGAGGATGGAGAAAGGGTATGAAATTCCCTTGGTGAAAACTTTGTTTTTATTTGGGTGCTTTGTACGCCATGCTACACCAAATGGTCCATCAGAAATCAGAAGCATCGGCTTGTTGCAAATTTGAACAGTTTCGGCCCCTTTACAACACGAACTAATCTGAGCTTTAAAATTGGCAATAAGAACCAAATTGCTCAACACAGGAACACATTTTTTAGGGGTAATGTTTATTAATAAGACCCAATAAAGTGTCATCTATACAACCAAGGTCAACGGTCACGTGCTGCGATGAGTAGAATGATGGCTGATGCCGTACTGATGGCGTACTGTTCCAAGCACGCTTCACCAAATCTATTAAATAGATATCCAAGGACCGCAGACAGAAATTTAGCTTGATTAACTGGATGTTCGAATTTTGTTAGCTTCCAGGAACCACACAATGGGCCTCAAGAGTCTTACAAAATTGAGTTCGGTGTATGCATTCCGCAGACATCCTGGCTTCACCTTGGACGACAAATGCTGTTTTAGTGTAGACATGTACTGCCACTAAGCATAAATAAGGAGAAAATTTGGCTATAAATCTCCTCTTTTTGATAGGAACGAGTCGGGCCATGACAAGTGGAGCGCTGTGGAATACTGTGGTGCGGAGGCCCATTTAACAAGTCTCGCGATTGCCTCCAGCTCTAATTGCTAACGTAGAACCTTCATCGGAACGCTCAACTCCTGGCCACAGTAATCAAGCGCTACCACACGATCAGTACGTGAAATTATTATGACCTCTTTGGCCTCGTATGTTAAAATACCAGCGTATCAATGTGAAACGTGTTCAATCATATCTACACGGTTTTCAGTGGAAATTTGGGCCTTGGAAGCATCCATCGCACTTGTCTTTATGGGGCATTCCAGCAGTTCGGTTTCACTCATGGTTTGATGTATCATTTCAGCACACTGCACACAAGTGGAGCAAATATAATTTCCTTCAGTCTTCCACCAAACTAGTGGCCTGAGTGCACAAACGTCGCAGGTCTGTCATCCTCTGATGGGATTAATCTAGGCATCAGTGCCAGTGTACCTTATCACAAACAGTGGGCGGTCTGTTGACGTCCTACACGAGCAATCCGATCGATAACTCCTCCACGCCCTCGTTGCAGCACTGATTCCTGCATTGCAGCCGATACTGCAAAAGCAATGTGCAATTTTTTTTGCTATCGCAAATAGCCACACATGAGTAAGTATCCTTCCTCAAACGTTTTCTTCGCTCCCGAGTTCTTTGTGCTGCGTGTGACACGCAATTTCTTCAAGGGACCAAATGTTCATTTGGGTATTGTCAGGGGCACAATTTTGTCGAATTCAACGAAGAATCACGGGCGTACAATAAGGAACGTTAAGTTGGCTGTTGTTTCAGTTGACCCTTTCCTCTTCTTCTGTTTCATTTGGGGCAGAGCTTTGGAAACACCTTTATACCCTTATATTTGTAATGCACTACTCATAAGGTTGCTGAAAACTCCTCGACAGCCCACGACCAGTTTCGCCCTTTTTGGGGCTCATCAGGTAGGCGCAGTCCCTGGATTTCCGTCAACCTTATGTTCTACTTGAAACCAAATGGCACCAAATTAG